AAAGGATATTGGATATTGGCAAATCTCAAGGTAATGTGTTATCTTCAGTACATATTTTGGACTACTTTTGCGTAAGAAGAAGGTCACTGATAATAATGACTGAAGAGTGCATTCATCGATAACATTAAAGAAATGAGAAGAAGAACTCAGTCAAATACTATGCTATTCTAAGTTCTTCGCAAAGAAAACCTATGTGGTTGGCGATGAAATCAGGTCGTTTTTGTCACTCACTAATTAGTATGAGTAAACGTACTACCAATTATTGTCCCACTTGGTGAACAGTAATATCTCAGGTGTGTTTCGGCAAACAAATAACCTTACTTTACACACACATTAGTATATCTAATTCCTCTCAGATGTACCAAGGTCTTCAACAGTATATCGATGACAGTTATTCGTCAAAGTTCCGCAAACGAGTGAGTGTTATGATTTCTCTTAAATATTCCGCAGAATGGCGTGCAGTTAAAGTAGTTCTAAAAGTTATTGATCTGTATTTTGTTTGACAGTGTAAAGTCAATGCGGTATCAACGATTTGAACCGGAAGATAACCAAGTTTAACATACGCAGAAATCCACTCACATATCCAATAATTATTCAGATGTGTAACTTACTCGCATGGTTTTATGTTAACCGTTTCAGTACTTGTGAAATATAAAGGTTATTTCTCCAATTTACAACAAATAAAATTCTCCATATGCCATAGTCTGGTGTAAATATCTCTTCACTGAGTGATTTTGAGTTACCTGACTGATGATTCAGTATAAAATCTAGAGACTCACCGGAAATTTGAAAGGGCTGCGCATCCCTATGTGGACCGACTAAGGTTCATTTTTTAGTATCCGGTAAATTTTTCGTCCTTGAGACATCTAATATCCTGTCGCAGGTCACTAAAATGCGTCGACCCACGCAGACAATCTGACAATCAACACGCCTGGCAAACAAGTCTTCGTGAGAAATTGAAACCAAAAATGTGCATCGACAACATCTACCCGATCGCTTCGAAGCCACTGCTTGACGTCAGACAGTCATTCCCTACTGCATGACTCAGCGACAAAAAATGCTAACTCCAAAACTGAGTGGACCAGTTTTCAATACTAGAAAGAAGGCAATCTAAACTCCGAAAAAATGTGTCGGATACCATCAAGTGTTGTATTATTGCTCAGGTACATATTGTTCTCGATGGTCCACAGAGATGTGGGGATTTTTAGTTGTAACCGGTTTCTTTCGTTACATTAATTGTAGACATTTTGGTCGCACTAAATTCCATAGGTTGTTTAGGTGAGTGCCCTCATACGCCTTGAATAGTCTCTAACATAAGTGCTAGCACTTGAGCGGATATGAACCATACTTCTTTCCAAGATGAGTTAAAATTCAAGTCGTTTCATTCTTGAGAGAAAAAAGCTGCTCTGGATTGAGAACTCAGCCAGTAACAGGCTGGATTCAACACAAGCGAATGACGCACTGATTAAACTGTAACGCTACCTATCATCATTGGACAGAGAATAGTTTGGAGGTTGAATCCCTACCTCGATCTTGAAAAGGCATTCTTCACCGTTGACCACAGAGGAATCTGGAATTTAGTTCAATACTACGGAGTGCCTAAAGCATTTATCAGTCTCATTCAACAGCTATGTACATAGCCGTGAATTTCCATTTAACCCACGTATTATTAGAATCAATTAGCCTATTAGTCCTACCAGTTGTCAAAGGAACTGCCTACACATTGTCGTTCTTTATAGTTACTACTGCAATCGAATTTACCACAGTTACGAGCTCAGCGACTACTGCCTTACGAATCTTTTACCTCATTCAATGCTCATGCTATTGATATAAAACAAGACCAACACAGTTAGGGAATTTTATATTTTATACAGTGAAATGTCGGTTTAAGAAACAGTAACCGGATGAAAGATTCCACAAAATGACCCAAATTATTCTGAGGACATTGATTGGCTGGGCCCAGGTTGAATGACGCTGGTACACATCTACAATGAAGGAAAGAGGGAAGCAGTTGAATACGCGTCAATAACCATTAAGTGCATAAAAACGGGAATACTTTTTCCCTTTTCATCATGACACCAATTTTTGGTTGCTTTGACTGTCACGTTGATAGTTTCCTCTTCAGTGAACCCAAGTTTTATTTCAACAGGCTGTAGCAGTTTGAAAACAGTTGCCTTCACATATACTTGAAGACTAGATGGCAAAAAGGATCAGAAACGAGGAATTCTTTCAAGCATTTAATCGACCATCAAACTTATAGATCGAAATATGCAAATGAATGAGACACGCTATGGAGACCGTTGAGTGACATCACACGCTAGCCACTTGCTAGAGCGGAACCCAAGTCGTAAAGACGAGTTCAGCGTGAATCCGGGAATGATGGATAGATCGTGAGAAGAGGAGATTAGAGAATCATGGAAACGACTCAAAGTGACCGCAGAGCTCAGGATGAAATCGAGATGTGTAGATGAAGCCTTATGGAACACAAATGATTAGCATTAACAAGATCATTAGTTGCTAATTTTTTGCGATGCCCAGTCTTGGATTACATGTTGTGTGGTTCCTGCAAGACCTATTACACCTAAAATATCATCTACAGAGTGGTCAAACTAAAAGCAGTTACGAACACAGAGTTAGTCATTCACACTCTCGTGGGCATCTCAATCTGAGGTTATACTACTGGTGTTTCCTGAGGCTGATGAGAAAGTCCACTTATGCTGCATTTTCTCTATGTGGAAGATAAATTAGAGGAGGGATCCACTGGAAATTGCACATCTCGATTTACTGTGCTGTAATTAGGCCTCCAAGACATATGAAACTTCAGGAATCGACCTCTGTTACTTAATTTCGTCACTTCTCGTAGAGGCATTTGAAAAAGAAATCAACTTCAGCGTTATGGGCACATTGTAATTGGCTACCGCCTACACACATAATTCTTCTGTTCACCACTACACAACTGTTAGTTCAAAGTTAGTTAACTCAAATTCATCTAACTCAGTGACTGATGCCACCGACTCAAGCCGTAGAAATACTTCTTTTACTTCAATGTCAGGATATTATACCAAATTAGATAGTAAGTTTCATTACACAAAACTATGAATGTTTTTCGCGTATGAGACGCACAAGACTAAAGTGTAGTTTTCCTCCTCACCAATAGAGTGAATCTGATAGATTTGCTTTGTCCTAATTGAGGCTGTGAGACACAGCTGTTGAAGACTTAAATGAAAAGACTAGTGATACCTGACCATAAATGTTACTGTCCAAAATTTTCTGTAGTGCGAAGAGGCCAATATTAATGAGGTTAATCGCAGAGCTCTAGGTAGGGGAGGGGAAATGAATTTATTACTCTGTAAAGGAACATCGACTGGAATAGCTAGGACGGGTCACTGACTTCCTGAACTAGCAGAATTAGCTGACATCGATTGGAAAATGCTGAAAGTGGTCAGATGATAAAATGGCACCATCCCACGTCTTCTCTCTCAAACAAGTAGGAAGCTATAAACTGTCTGGCTGAAGATGTTAATAACCTGTGACGTGGCTTATAATCGTTAGAAATAGCCCAAATAGATTCACTCTTCGTTGTTATTCAGATTTTGAACATCTCACCTAATTATTCTTTCCCATGTACACCATCTACCGTGGCTTCACAACACTTCTTTCCAATACTACTGTGCAGCAACCTCAGATGCTTTACATTAGTACAAGTTAGTACTGGGTTTGAGAATGATAACAGTCATTAGTATTGATTCTCCTGATAGGTATCCTATGGTACGCGAGACAAGACAATATTACTAATTTTTCCAGCTGGAATTTTAACGTTCAAGTAGATAGGGAATAACTCTTGAAGACGGTGTACCGTAACTATGCTGCATGAAGTCGTTCAGATATAAAACCATCATATGACTGCACCATTCAGTTATAGCACCAATTTTGCGTTGTAATTACTGGTGGTATTAGGATAGCCTGTCTATGTAACGTACCACCACTGATACTGACTCAAGTGTCAAGCAAAAGTCTCCACCTGGCGCCTGGTTCAGGGTGATCGGGAATGCTGTGATCCCAAGTGGAGGCTCACCATTGCACTTCGGTGGATTGAAACTCGCAACGGACCCTAATCGGGTGCGCTCGAGCGGGTAGGTTTGTCAGTGGAGAGGCCTCACACTCCTCCCTTTATGTACGCGTCGGCGGCACAGCGGTTAGGGCGCTTTCCGACCATGCACATGGTCCGGGGTTTAATCCCCGACCGACGCACACCTGATATCAATGGTCGTCTTGCTAAATTTGGGCTACTCATATCACATGCTGAAAATTCCATACTTGTACCAAAATAGAGTGAGGAATAAAGCTACGATAAAATTAAACTAAATATTGGGTTTGTTAAAGGTATAAGTCAAGAAGTGCAATATGACAAGTATAATGAGGTTAAAACAAAGAACAAAATAATTGGGAGTTATGTATATATCTGTTGTAAAAGCTGAGAAGTATCATGTAATTTATCAGATCGTTACAATTATATTCTCTACTGACACCTAAATACTGATATTCTAGCAGTATAGAATTCGTACTTTGTTAGAATATCTAGATTAGGAGTGAGACTTATGCGTAGAGAAGACGGGCGTACATATGACAAAATAGTATAAGTTTTGAAATAAAAACCATGCATCACTTGTGTTTTATAACCGACTACTACCTAGTAATTCAAGATCTCTTGAAAATATCCATGAATATTTGTTAAATAAGGTGAAGACCAAGAAATTGTACATTTGAATTTGCCAGTCCGAACAGTTACTCACTGTCTGAGTCCACAAAAGATCCTACAGTTAAAACACTCATAAATATTAAGATCACACATAGTTTGTATTTGTACAACAAATAAATCATTCACATGATGATTAAAGAAATACTTTAGGAGAGGAGAAAAAAATAGAGGAAAGTTAAACTACGCCAAACGTATAATATGAATGATGTAAGATGACTTCATTTTCTTCATTCATTCATCGCTAATCTTCTTTTCGTGAATCTACTTCAGAGTCAGCCAACGACGGAACGTCATCTTTACCCACCGTATTCTTATTGTTTTTAACATGTTTGTCTGTAAGTTGCGCATCGCCTTCTTGATTATCGTCATTAGACTGGAGTTTTACTAACGATCTACTATTGGCTAGTTTATCCTCTAAATTTTTAAGAACATTTTGAATAGCCAATATCACTTCACGGCGCTTATTGCGTATCGCTGAATCACCAGCAGAATCAATATTATCCAAACGTAATGTAAGTTTTTCAAGTTTGTCCTCGAGAAACAGATATTTTTTATCCTTAAATGAAGCTAACAAGAAGAAATAAAGGATAAGAGGGAATCAGAATAAGTAAGTAGCATCAATAGTGAGATTTACAAAAACGAACGGCAACTCAGTATAAATGTATATATATTTATGGATGATTATTGAGTCAACAAAATGAATCTTATAAATCTTGATAATTTTATTCTATACCTCCTCAATGTTATCATCTATATGGTTCATTGACTTAGAAATTGATTTTTATTCAGTGGGTCCTCTGAGTTCAAACAGTGAAGAGTATCTCCCTCAAGGTACACAACTAGGTGATAATTTTGTAACACAATTTAACTAAATACGTACTTTTGATGATTCCTCATCAGACTTTACAATTACGTAGTAGAGTTACTGATCATAGACGATATTTGAAACCAATGTCGTTGGCAGAATTAAAGTCCAGGCATACGAGCATAATAATAATAAATTCATGCAAGTGTTTATGTAAAATCTATGAAGTCATAGTTATAAACGTGTATACTTGTCGGGGAAGAGGAAATAACTACTGTATCATAGCGATTACATAATAGTGTTTGGTTTTGTGATGAATCGTGAAACTAATATTAAAATATGCAATAATAGCACGGCATGAAATTGGTAATAAAGTTAACAGTACACATAAAAATAGTATTTACAGTTATCCAATGTCACAGGGAAATAAGAACTGTTCTACGTTGGGGGTGAAGGAAAAGGGAGGAAGAGGGACTGAAATATTTCAAGGCAACCGCCTCGGCGATACTCAGTGATTGATGGTGTACAAACCTAGAGAAGCAAAGTGGTACGTGATATCAAATTATAAAGGCTGAATTCTTTTCAATGTTATGCTGCGTAACCACTAGGTACGCTAATAGGGAACTGCTGATTGACCCTAAGATTTCAAACATGATGGTGAGACACCGTATGTTTTAGCTATTTTTTCTTCAAGTTTTTTTAAATTCCTTTACGTTCCCGGTGGAACATAGGGTTTCAAGCTAGAGGCTTGAAGTTTCGGTACCAGTGGTGTTTATTTTTACGGGAAGGGGTTGCTAGCCTCATGCCCAACCTCCCCTCTTGACCAGTCTTATTACGGGCTCAACGAGGTAAAGGAGTGCGTCGGCCAAGGACCGAATCATGGATCACATGCGGGGTAGGCGAGTATCCTACCGCTGTGGCACTGACGCACTTTAAAGAGTTTCAATGCCAGTAATTCAGTAGTTGCATCTCCTTTGAATGACAAATTATAAGGAAATCTTTCTTCTGCACCGTTTGTTTGCATGCATTTCTCTGTCTGTTCTCATCATAGACACTAACAAATTTTTCTAAATATTCGTTCTCATATAAGTAAGTTTTCCATTTTCCGGAACGTCTGTTGTACAGACTTTTCTAGCACGAAATATTAGAATACTGATGAGATTTCATTCGTATGCAGGATGAACACACGAACTGAAATGAGTGTATGGGCCAACTCATGACTTCTTCCGGAAAATGACTGCCTTCGCTCCACACAGATCAGATATCTAGAAAAGATTAACCACACGAAACTCTGGAAATGAACCAATCGTCCGACAAATATGTCAAGGAAAACGGGGATGGACCGGGCACGCTCTGAGGAGACCGAGTGCCAAAACCCTCGAGTGGAACCCAAATGGAAAACAACGAGTTTGGTATGAGTCCGAGGGTGACATAAAGGAGATTATGTGTGAAGATGGGAGAATATGAGCAATCGCACGGCCAGATGAAGATGACTTCAAAAAACAGAATGAAATGAAGATATGCTTTTGAATCCCTATATTACACTCAAAACATATATACATTATTTAACCTACTTAAGGTATATACTTAATGAGTGTCAAAATCGAGATCTACCATGAAATCTATCGGCCTACCGCAGAGTTAACAACAGCCACAGTTGTGCGGTTACAGTTTTGAAACTAGCTCTGAATGCAGTGGTTTGGACGGGTCAAGTGGTAACAACATCTGTCATCATAATATGTTTAGTGTGGCGTTTTGCAAGTTGTACGCATTTGAAGGTGATTTGACGAGTACCGTTAAATTTTCAGGTCTGAACACTCATTATTATCAGTCAGAAAACCAGGGAGAACTGGGCACCTGTTTCGTCCTCGTTCGGGGCTCCTCAGAAGTGTGCACCTATGACACTAAGGAGGATCGTACCTTGGACCTTCGGGATATGAGGCGAGTTCGCTGTCTATTCAGCGACTGGGAGGGAATCTAATAGCTCACTAATTCTAATCTCTGTCAGTTAGCGATATATAGCACGACTGACAGCCAATGTCCTTGGTAAGTTTCTGTCCTTATACCCAACTTGGTGGACTTCTCCAGACCACTTACCATTTTCGCTTGGTAATACAATTAAAAGCATTAGAACTTACGAAAAAATTCGTTTATTTCAGCTTTTACTTCTTCCAGTTCACTTTGTGCTTGTTCTATTAGAGACATTGGATCTAACGGTGTTGACTGATGATTGGTTGTTTCACTGTTATCTGAATTCTCAGTATTATCATCTGCTATTTTAACAGGTATTGATGATGGAACTTCATCATTGTGATGATTAGGTTTATCAGAAGAAGAATTGAACGGTTGTGCCTGTTGCTCATACCTTTGATCTTGTTGCTTATGATGACGATCGTGATGGTTGTCATTTCCACCAAACGAGGATGAAGTGACAGGATGTACCTTGAGATGAATTATTTAAAGGAATTATATAATATATATGAGATTGTAGAATGATACCGACTGAGAAGACTAACTTTCTGCTGACCCCTTTTCTTTTATTTGACATAACAAGAAAACGTATTATCTACCAGTGGATGTAATCCGGTTGTTATTGTTAGACTATCAACTAATACTCCACGATCTATCTAACCTAAATATCAGGCAAATAACCAATCAAATTTCAGCATGTTTACTAAACGCCCACTGCTCTGTGTATGTTGCTATGGGATTACTTCGCATGATACTATTTGCATATTATATATGTAATCATCTCACGCTTACTTGGTTAGAATACACTTTTCAGTATCATTTCAATAATTAACTGGTGCAGAGAAAATCCACTAAGCACTTTGTAGAACGTTAATTATTGTTGTTAACACATATCATTGTAAATATTTAGGGACAACAAAACATGTTCTAGATTATGCTCATCATTATACATCATAGCCAGTAGAGGTGAGTGACAGTATGACTAAGACAAAACCAATATAGTGTTCATTAGCGGTAGATAAACGATATGGATTTCATTGATGCCCAAGATAATAAAAAAACAAAACAAAAGAAACAATTAAACAACGACTAGTAATAACAGAAATCAATGACTGAAAGCAATTCGTAGAAGTAATCGAATAAACACATGAACAAAAACAGGGACAAAACAAAATGAGTAAATACTTCAGATTCCACTAATTCTATGACTGTCTCAGCTTCGACAATGAACTTTGCACGGAAATGCGGCAATTCCATTTGCCATACTTCACGCAGTACTTAAAGGTGGAGAAAAGATAGAACGAAGAAATTCAAAATAACTATAATAAGCATAAATATGGGGAAGGAAGAACAGTAACATTAAAAAATATGAAGACTTGATGTATACGGAAGATTACACAGAGTGATTTGCAATCAGTCCTAAATGAGCGTAACAGACATAGGGTGTTTAGTTAATTTCGATCTGGTTAGCCAGCAATACTGGTTAGTGTGAGTGGAACATACAACTACTCATTTCAAACAATTAGTGGTACATAGTGTCCATGCAATTGTGAATGCATCTGTGACATGGAGAACGGTTTTGATTTTACAGTTTACAACTTGCAGGCACTTCCACCAAGTTCAAGGAAGAGATGTCAAAGGAAAATAGAAATTCCAGTTAACGGAGTTACTTGCAAGACGTAACTTTGATTGTGTCAAAGATCTATTTACTAGTTTAAAAAAATACTAAAAACTAGACAGGTGTTTCATCTTAGGTGAGGACTCTTACGGGGTGCGCACATTCATGAAGGTGTGGGGACATAAAATCAACACAATTAGGGTGACAGGATGGACACTTCTTTATTTAGCCAAATGGGCAGAAATTCAATGACTTGTTGTTTTTTAATTCTCTCAATTTTTAATATGGAGCAGTGACATCACTGTCCTTGCACACTCTTTCTGATGAATCCTATAGACCATAGACAACTGAATTAATTTATTCTTTCGCATCAGTCCATTACACACAAAACACTGTACTGTATACATCCTCCACATGAAATGTGATTGTGTTAATGAATAAATAACTAACCAGTTGAAAGATATGAAGGCCAATCTGCATATAAGCTAAAGTATTTCGAGCTATACAGTTCATCATTTTCAAAGAAGCCAAAGAGCGTCAGCTGATACTAGTTACTAATAATTAATCTACCTCAGCTTGGTAACTAGTTACAGCATAGATTCCAAATAATTTAATAATTTGTGATCAGCAAAGTTCACCAAATGCTATAGGAGTGAAGAAATTTGTTGATAACATTGAGTCATCGGGTGCTAGGTGCAGAATTATTGCATTCCAGGTGAGTGGCTAAACAGTAACGTCTAGGCGTCGTAACAACTAGAACAGTCCAGGTAAAATCACACTAAAGGTGATCACGAGAATTAAAGTGTACTCAAAACATTGTTATCCAGTTATCAATATTGCATCACACTATGTTATGTAACAAAAAACTTATTCAATATGAAACTAATCATTATAGCAGACTGACGTAATCCTTTTATAACCTGGCATCAAAACTAAACAAACGCTAATTAAGGTGTACAGTGATCTAAAAGAAAACGAAAATATGCTAATAAAATCACTAAAGATCGCTGCAACAAGAGAAGAAGAAATGACAACCAAATAACTGAGAAATCAATATGGAAGTTTACAAAACCGTCCAGGAATTCAAGTTGTAAATAAAAAATCTGACATTAAAAGATGAAGTATACAATAGGAAGGTATCTGCCTAGTGATGATTGGTTCTGTTACATATCACTTAGGTGTTTGCAACCATACCTTCCAAACATACGGTGAATGTCAGCCACAAGAATTACATTTCCCAACACGCCTTAGACAATAGCACACCTAACAGAAAGATGTGATTTTTTAGTCTGAACATCTTTAATTTCGCTTTACAAACCTAATCACATTTCATTTTGACGTTAATTTTCAATTTCCCGCTGATTGATTATGTTGGAGACAAATGTCTGGTTTCTGTGTTGACATGTCGGCTTCTAGAATGGATCCTTAAACGAAGTGTAAGGACAACGCAAAAGTTATTTTAGTTGGTGGTATCTGATAGTGGAATCCAGAGTGTGCACTTCGTCTTGTTTGGGAATAGTGGTCATCTGGATGTATCTGTGTTACCAATGAGTGACGGTGTTTGAGACGGTAGGTGCAGGATCCGAGTCTCACTGGGGACATTAATCAATAACATCACTAACTCACTGAGAATGCAGGTAACTCCAGATGACCAGTAGTTCTAAATGGGGACAAATGCTCATCTTGGATTCCACGACCAGTCACCACTAATCAAAATAACCAATCACACTTCAATGAAAATTGTTCTTTCAGGAGAATACAGACTAAGCAAGTGTAATACAACATCACCCACGTATGTATTTGAAGTAATAAAGATTTACAGCTTCGTTGAATAATTCACAATCTATTTTCACTCAACACTCCATGATAAAACTCTCTCGTATGTCAGTTTCTACTAACAAAGATGCTAACGGTGAAATTCATAGCACTTCGTGGGACTGACCAAGTAACTGAGTTTCAACATAGAGCTTTGCACAAAAGTTGAGCAGTTCAACTCACCACACTCTTTGTAGTCCACAAAAGTAGGGAAAAGGAAGAAAAAAGATATTTAAAAGAACTGTAAGAAGCAGGAATATACCGGAAAAACATGACCATTTAGCGGATATGCGAAGGCACACAGAGTGAATGCATCTACACCACTGAAAACGATTTTACGCCATATCACCAGCAGTCCTCCAGTCATTGAATCTTGGCAACTCAAGGACCAGAGGACAACCAGGTAGTCTACACCTCTCTCTACATGGCTCGAACTAACTTTCAAAGATTTTATGCATTGATGATGCAAGCGCAAAAAATGAGAGGGCTAGGTGGTGGAAGAAAGAGATTTAAGATGGCGATTTCAGTTCAAGGCTCATTCATATCCCTGTATACCAAGGACATGAAAAATAGAAATCAATCCAACTCACCTTAATAGGTATCGGTTCACTAGCATTTTCATAGTACGATTGTTTTTTACGAGGAATATCCTCTTCACTACAATTAGTCGACGAATGATTTACCACTTGACCATTGTTATTCAAGTTATTTGTTATTTTATTACGCAGATTTAGATTTTCAGATGAATAATTTGGAACAGATCGTAAATTTGGTGAGCTATTTAACTATAAATGGAAAGGAAAGAAAAGAAATGTAGAAGAACTGGTTACGGGGATAGAGAAAAAACTGTACTAATAACGACTTATCATCAATAGAGTTAGACAGTGTTCTAATTCAAAAAATCCACACAGCTGTGGTCAAATACAATGACGAAGGAGCTAAAATTTCAAATATGAAGAACTCAAAAAAACAATACAGTCAAACAAACATTATTTGCTGTAGTCAGGCTATACCAAGAGCTGTATGTTGGTGTTGTAGAAGGTAAGGGAAATGCCGATAATGTCACTTGATTATATCAGTTGGTAACGAAACATATGAATTTACATACTGAGCATAGTGATAAATTACGTAATCTAAAGACAGTACGTGATCAGTATCGCTCACAAATGAATACCACAAAAATTTACTAGAGCTTGGAAACAGGAACATTGTTAGAGAGAGAGAGAGAGAGTAAGCGATTCAGAATATTTATAAAGTATTGATCTAATGTTAGGAGTTTCAAAGGAAAGAATAAGGAGAAAGCAAAAACCAAATGTAACAAAAATATTCATTCAGACATCTATAAAACACAAAATAATTGAGCAAAGAATATCCTTTTCGATAATTTCCTCTTCTGCCTCTACAATTATATATATGTTTATACACAGGATATTCTTGAGTAGTAGTCAATAACAATGTTAGTGTTTTTGAAATAATATCGGTTTGTTAAGTAAGATCAGTGGAATTACAGTTCATTAAAGATGCCTAATTTATATCAATAATAAAAATATAGTAGCAAATAAAATATCAACTAAAATTAAGGAAATTTCTCGTCGGATTCCCGAACATCACCCTGTGTGGTTAGGTCGTAGCGCTATTCGATCTCATTTTGTGGATACAGAACACAATATTGATGTCCACCAGGCTTTCAAAGTTATTTACCGCATACCAACAAATCTTAACTTCGCCTTAAGAGTTCGACTACTAAATACTGCTGAGGCCGTTGGGATCCACATTAAGAAATCTAATTAATGTATCCAAAAGAAGCTAGTTCAGACATTGTCCTTACTAAGACCAACTAGGTTCGAATGATCCTCATTTTTTTTGTAGGAATTCCCTTAATTTTAGTTGGTATTCTATTTGCTATTATATTATTATTATTTAAGCATCTTTAATGAACTGTAATTCCATTGATCTTACTTAACAAACCGGTATTATTTCAAAAACACTAATATTGTTATTGACTACTATTCAAGAATATCCTGTGTATAAACATATATATATAATTGTAGAGGAAATTACCGAAAAGGACATTCTTTGCTCAATTATTCTGTTTTTTAATAACCAAATGATCAGTATGGATTACAAACAGAATTACTGTACGAGTTATAAAAAGAGGAAAGATTAGGGCCACGTTAGTGGAAGAGATTGTATAAACCGCTTCTGTATACACAGTTCATAGTTTTCCTTGTGGTTAACCAGAGCTTCTGAAGTGAACAGAGTACGCAACTTGATACCCTTAGGACGATTTTGTATATCTATTGACGGAAGCGATTCATCTAATCCTTTCCATGGCTTTTGTTACCAAATTCATACGAAAAGTCGACCTTTTACAACACTATATAGAACTGTACAGCTTTTAAGAGGAGTTAAGAAAAGAATATTATCTGCTAACCTATGTCACACGGGTGTTTTTTGTACTTTAAAGCTACAGTGATAAATGGTGTTAGGTCAATTTTGTTCCCTTTTCAAATAAGGTTTTTAAGCCTTTCATATTTTTGTAAGGATTGTTGATAACAGTCAACTATCTCAGAATATTCTGTATAAGTATAAACTTTTATTGTTTTGAGTTAAGTTAACTGACATCTACAATCAACAACAAAAAACACCCACTTAAGATATAGATCTTCCTTAATCATTCAGTTGCCTAGTCTTCTTGAAAGACTGACTGGTGACCTGTTTGAATGAGGTGATCTAATATAAAACTGTTAATGAGTTTAACTGCAGCTTTATTTAGCCACACCGGTTGATGTTCCCGAAAACGACAATTTAAGTTCCTTAGAGCAAAGGTTTCACAGAAACAGTTGAATTGATAGACACAATTAGAGGTGGCTGTTAGTCTAGGTGCTTCGTTTTCTAGCTTCGGAATCACAACTTGCGGTTTGGAAAATCTGAATTGCAGCTCACTCGCGGTATTGCTACTCTGGCCTGTTGTGAAACCTATATATTCTCTATTATTTTTCTTAATTTATCTGATGTTCAGTTTCATATTACATTTTTCTATGCATATTATCATTAACAAATGTTTCTGAACTGTCATCTGTTAGCATAACTGACTGACTGCTTTCAACGTAGAACTTTGCACAGGTGTGCAGCAGTTTCAGTTGCCACTATCCCTTCATGTAGTACATAAAGCAAGAGAAGAGAGTAAGAGAGATGATAAACAGAAATATGAGGCAAAAAGTATAGTAATAAGGAAAAACAATATAATTTTATTGGATATTATAAATCACAAGAAGTGGACGCATCTGTGCCAAACATTGAGAACGATTTTGATCCATATCACCAATTGTCTCCAGTCATTGGTTTTACGATCCCGAGGATCCCAACCGGGGAATCTACATCTTCCTATATGGCTTAGATTAACCGTTGTGGATTCCATTGACTGATAAAGTCATGTTTTAATTTGACCACTACTGACTCTTACAGCCTGATCCAATGTCAGTCAGCTAACATTGCCCGTCGAGGAAGGCGATGGCTAGGAATGCATGCGTAACACATGTCCTAACCATCTCAATTAATATAGTTTCTCGGCCCCATCGATTGATTTTCTCTCCTTACCCGGCACTCGATCGATGCCTTACCTCGATATTGATCACCCTATTATACCACCTAACACGGGAGATAGAACCTATGATCAAAGACAGCTAGGCTTTTCGTATCTTCCGCTTTCAATGACGATGCCCCACATTGATATAAGAATAAAACCTGTGCACTGTGGTAGTGTAATTCCATTATGGGTAAATTTTGTTTTGATAAAGTCTCACAGTGTTATACAGTAATGTTTACTGATGACGTTTCGAGCAAAATTTATTGCTCATAATCATATCAAGGTAATCACACGACTTCCTAAATTCATTTATATAGTTCCATTGTTTTTCACTTGATTTGATTGGTAGTATTATTTTCCATATTTCAGGTATGAGTGATGATTCATTCCTATTGCATGTGTTGGGTGTAGATTCGATGAACAAAGATTCAGTAATCAAACTCTCTCTACACCTACCTAGATTACTTTTTAGAATTTTAACCCTCTCCCACCCTATTGTGTTGTTGTGTGCTAATGCATGCATTGCAATTGCCGAGCTTTTTTCTAAATTACTTATCTTCTCGGGGTCAACCATTCTTACCTTAGCTAAATTCTTATGTTCTGACAATCTGACTACCCCTGACCTACTAGTTTGACCTATGTAGTTGACCTCACAGTCATTGCAGGGTATTTTGTAAATTATATTATTTTGTCTAATTGGGTCACCGGGGTCCTTTAACCTACAAAGCTTGTCCCTGAGTGAGTTTGTAGGTTTAAATGCCACCCTAATTCCTGGTTTATAATATATATATATATATATATATATATATATATATATATATATATATAACCATACGAATGCTGTCAACTAAATAAATGAATGGTCAAGCATATTGTTTGCGTTTACATAAAATAACAGTAAAAGTATTAGTAGCATTCTTAAGATGAATGCACAAACGTATTCTCACGTTAAAACAAACATCATCAGTTGCAGTGGATGACTCGTGATTTAAGAATGTTAAGCCTTTTTGATATTGACAGAAATTTGAATAACCACTATTAACTATCACATTGAATACAATCCTTTTCAGCTCCTACCTGCTCTAACTCACTCTAACACTAACACAAACACGGCTACATAAATACACAAGTCATTCAAATATACGTAACCGCAATTATTTCAGGCTCACTGAGAGAATTTGTCAACTTTAAAATTTATGATAGTAATAATAATAATAATAATAGCTATCATAATATAATGACAGTAACGACAACATAATATAATAATATAGTAGGTCATTACTTCAGAAAAGAGATTGTCATTCGCCATTGAAATTACAGGTAGATACATATACGACTAAATTTCAAGTGTGTGTGTGCGTGTACGTGACAAATAGATAAACAGAGATACAAGTTGTACAAGACGTATCTTGGATTTTTTTAGGCTGACTTATCTGTAAGATACAAGTTTAATAATAATAAAATATGTGATCAACAGTTCAGCATTAGACAACCAAGCCCAAACAGGCCACAAAGGTAGCACAGAAGAATCCTTTTCTTTCATCTACAGGGTAGCAAACCAATTGTCAAAGGCCTAAAGGATACTGAATACTTCTAAAACATCAAAAGACATTGTAATTCATTCTAAACAACCAGGGTTCTGTGTACAAAAGTAACAAGCCTAGACGCTATTGCTATCGTAATTCTGTATTATTTTTCTTAATTTATCTGATATTCAGTTTAGTGCTCTTTTGCTGCATATTATCACAGATGCTTTCGAACTGTAATCTACTGATACTATTGATTCAGTGTTACGTAAAACTTTAATGTTGTCGATAACAATAATTCTTTAATTATTATGGGCACACAACTGCTGAAAATGATAGAGGAGAAATAAAGTATAATTATATTTCAATAGTTTACACACAATGATAAGTTTTGTTATTGGTAATATTTCGAGCAAAATTACTGCCCGTGTTCACATCACTGTTGGAAGTGTTTGAAGTTATCGAAAAAAATATTCTTTATTCACTAATCTCAGTCTTTCAAGAACTTCGAAGCGTTGATCGAATTAGTATGTATGACTGTTGTCAAGGCAATGCCAAAAACACCAGTTTTGTTGCTACTTATACTTATACATTTATCTCATCTCACCTACATTTTACTTTGATAAGAAAGAGGGGGCAGGCACAAAATACACTGTGTACTAAACACAAA